CTGGCATCAGCCTGTAAATCATTAAGAGTGTAATAGCAAAAGTGAGGGCTTCAGGTTTTCATGAAGGTTTAAAAACCTAGAATACTTTGGCCCTTATCCAGGCGGCGGGTGAAGTTCTCTGGAAAGAGGCCTTTGTAGGTGGCAAGGTCTCTGTACTGAAGCCAGTCAGATTCTTTCACTCCTACCAGCCAGCCTGCATCCTGATCGGCTTCTGAATCTGAGCGGACCACCAGCACCACATCACCCCTTTGTAAGGTCAGTTCATCTGAGTTTGCTGCCTCGAAGTCGTGTAGTGTTTCCACCTTGTAGAGAAAGCCGGCAGGCAGCTCCGAGAGGCCTCGTTTGCAGCCGAGTGGAGGCCGCCGTCTGCTCTGTGGCCGGCTCGGGTGTGTCGCCACTGGGGCCCGGGAGAGCTGCGTCGTCGGTCACCTCCTTGGGTTCTGCACCTACAGATATTTCGTGTCCTCCCTCCCCTTCGTTGCTGGAGGCTGGCTGTATGATGACAGAAGGGATGACCTTCTTCTGCGGCGCTGCGGCTTCGGTTTCCTCCTCCGCCTGCGACCCGTCCCCGGCTCCAGCCTCTACGGAGTCAGCCTCGGCCCGGGCCTCCTCTAACCCAGCTCCTTCCGCCGGGGGAAGGGCCGCCTTGTCGGCCTCTGCCTCCTCCGCCGGGGCCGCCTCGGCCGGGGTGCCGACAGCCCCCTCGGCGGCGGCTCCGACTGTGGTCCGGAAGCCAGAAGCCAAGCGGCTGTAGCCCGGGAGCCTCAGCGAGGGTCGGTCCCAGCCCTGTGCCGGCTCCGCCCGCTGCTGAGGCTCCTCGGTTTCCGGGAGCAGAACAGTTAGAGGCTGTCTTCTTTTCATAAGAAGGTAAAAAATTAAGTTGACCTCAACATACTATTTTGATTTCACTTCATAGTTTTAGTACGTTGTGTTTTCATTCAGTTCTAATTACTTAAAAACATCCAATATTATTTCTTCTTCAATATGTAAGTTACTTAAAACTGTGTTTAAAAATTCACACATATATAGATTTAAAAATATATAATTTTGTTGTTCATTTATAACAATTAAATCATGAGAAAACATAACCTCTATGATAATTATATTAAATTTGTTAACACTTGCTTTGTAACTTACTATGTCTTTCTTTTACTGTGTTGTATACTTGAAACCAATGTAAGATTGCATATCAACCATACTTCAATTAAAAATATATATATATAGAAATTTTTTTATAAATGTCCCTCATAAGGTTGAAAAAAATGTGTCACCAGTCATTCAGTGAAGAATTTTAAACACAGCCATTAAGATTTGTAAATTTTATACATTATTTCATATCTTTATTTATATTTTGAATTTTGAATTAGAGGAATGTATTGAGAGAGGTGTATAAATCTTTCACTTTGACAATAGATTGGCCATTTTTGTTTCTATGGTTCTAGTATTGTTACTTTCTATCAGTTAGTATGTATTTCATATTTTTATATAATTTAGTTCTTAAACCCACCTAGGAGTGAAACACTATCATTACATAGGGACTCTCTTTATCGTAATAACACATTTTTTCCCTAAGGTCTTTTTTGTCTGATATTTATATATCTACCTCATCTCTATTTTCATTTCCTTTTTCCAGGTATTTTTTTTTCATCTTTTCTTACTTTCAACCTTTTTATGTCCTTAGAAGTTTAGTGTGCCTCATGGAAACAACATGTACCTGAATTTGTTTTCATTCAAACTGAAATATCTTTGCCTTTTAACTTCCAGCTTGGTCCATTTGTAGTACCATCTGTTGGTATTATGTTTGAATTTCTCCAACTCTCTTTTTGATCGTCTTCTGTTTGTACCATTTCTTCTATTGAGGTTTCTTTTTAGCCTACTTTCTTGCCTTATATTGGATATATGTTTATAATTTGAATAAATATTTATACTTACTAGTTTTTCTTACCCGTTTCTTTGTACTTGTGCTGGTCTAAAAGCTATATACTCTATTCCTGTTCTTATAAGTAGTTACCCCTGACATCTTTCTTATGCAGAGTTAATAAAGTCTATAGCTTATCAGTGTAATACAGTCCCTTCTAAACAACACAGTACAATTGTTGCTGTTTTCTTATTGTATTTTTTAAGTATTACAGTTGATACTTGAACAACATGGGTTTATGATGAATTGCATGGGTTCTTTATATACAGATCTTTTTCAATACATATTTTGGAAAAAAATTTTGAGATTGAACAATTTGTAAAAACCTCTTGTCTCTAACTTACTTTACTGTAAGAATATAGTATAAATACATATACAAAATATTTCTTAATCAACTGTTTGTTATCAGTAAGACTTTCAGTCCACAGTAGCTTTTGGTAGTTAAGGTTTTGGGGAATCAGAAGTTATACATGGATTTGCAAATGCACGGGGTCAGTGTCTCTACTCCTTGCATTGTTCAATGATCAGCTGTATTTAGGTCCACATATATTTAGATATACTAACATATTTACCAAATTTTTTATCACTGTTCCTTCATTTCAGATCTTCCCTGTAGGATCACTTTTTTTTTCCTTTGAAATATATCCTTAGTAGTTCCTTAGGGGTAGACTGCTTTGTTTAGCTGAAGATATTTTTATTTGTCTAGGTTTGGAGAGTGATTTTTTTAGAAATCTGCTGTAACATTGTTTTCTCTTAGCTCTTTGAAGAAATTATAGATTTACCAACCTACTAGCTTTGTGATGCTGTTCAAATGTTTTGTAGACAGTGATGCTGCCCATCCTTAGGATGGCTGTGAGGACCGAACATGCATACTGTGAGAGCAGGGTTTCTAGCACATACTAAGCATGGTATAAATAACCTTTCTTCTTTTTCATCTTCAATTATTATTGCCTGTGGTACTCTGCAATGGACTAAAATTTATTTCAGTTAAGTTTATTTTTGTTTATACTGCTTCCCCCACTTGGTATACATTTTTCTTCCTGAATCTGTGGTTCTAAGTCTTACATTTTCTGGTTTCTGTAAATTCTCAACCTTTAATTCTTTGAGTATTACATGTATTTCTCTATACCATTCTCTTCTGAGATTTTTTATAAGCAAAATGTATTTTTTCATTCTATCACTCTATTTCTTCTAGAAAAAAACTGACTTTTGCATGACCTGACTGGAGCACCTTCTATGTTTTAGTTGACTACTCCTTCCCCCTCTCTTGTTCTTCTCAGCCCTGTGAGATGTCATAATTTTCCTGTAAACCAAATGCATAGTTTTCCATATTGTAGATGATATCTTCTGAAGAGCAAAAATGTTTTCAAAGAAATTCAGAAATTCATAGTCTATATATTTTGGATTTGGTCGAGTTCACATACATGAGCAACAAACTCAGTATGCTAAAAACTTAAGAAAATATTGTTTATATTTACTATTGACCATCAGTTAATGGCACTTATAAAGATACTTCAAACTGCTTCATACAAGTTGTAATTATTCCTATTGTGATTTTTGTTTCTCGCTTACATAGCTTAAAGCAAGAGAGAAGCATGTAAAACTTACCTGAAAAGGTTTTTCAGCCACAGACAGAAATATCCTCCAGTAATTATTACCCTACAGTAAGACTTATGCCCATAAATACTACTTAACCCATCAGCAAGACTCATTTAAGATAGAAACGGAGTAAAATTATTTTTTTTTATCTTTGCTTGGATATTTTTAGACAAATATATTATTTAGCCATTAATATTAAAAAGTAAGATTTGAATGGCAAACGTCTGTACAAATAAACAATAGCTGCAAAGCAAAGAACAGTTCTAGTATCTATCTATTAGTGAAGGACTACCTGTCTTAGAGTAATTTTTTCAACTCTATTAACTTGGAAAATGAAATAGACATCCTTCATAACTTTCATGAGAACTTCTTGACTCTATAATCCACATTTTCTGTGGCACCATTAAGCTCTCCCTCTCCTATGTACATAAAAGATTAATACTCAGCATAAAAATAAGCAAAAAAAAAACAAGCAAAATACTTGTCTTGATCCTGTCATTTCCTCTCTTAGTAATACTGGGTATCTTTTTCATTTATAGCATATATTTATTCATTAATTAAAGATTTATTCATTCTGGAAGCATTTATTGAGCACTTCAATTAGTCAGTCATAATGCTTGATGCTGTAGAAACAGAGAGAGGAAACAGTTCTCTATCAAAAACACAGGGAAGGAGGGCAAATAAGCGTTTCGTTACATTCAATGAGAGAAAAGTTCCTAAGAGAACATTTAGGAGGAGCATTTAATGCAGATGGATGCAGAGAAGATGATGAAATTGAAGTTTTCTTGCAGTTGATATTTTATCCAAAAACCTACATGTTTCTCTCATGTCATTGACATCCACTCATTTATTAAAGTAGCTTTTGTGCCCACCTCTTGAAAGCCACTGCTTTTTCTTTTTTAACATCTACCAATAACCTAAATGGAAAATCCAATGACTCATCCTCAACCACCGAGTACTTCACGGTCTTTCATCTCTCAAAATCTAGCTCAAAATCTCCTCCTTTCCTGATTCACTCCTTCCTTCACCATCTAAACTGAACTCCTGGAACATTAATCCAAACATAAGCAATGCTGACCTACTGTTTTGTATTATATTATATTTTTGAAATTGTCTGAACCCATGTCTAAATTTTCATCATTCTGAAGCTACATCACCCATCGAACCCAATACATAACCCTGAACCCAACACATACTAAAAAAAAATTAATTTAGTAAATTAATCTAGAGGAACACAGCAGAATTAATCTGGAAAGTGTGCAGCAGCAGTTTTCTCTCATCAACTTAAATTGCTAAAAATATAAGTATTTAATTGTGTAGACTAAATATAGTAAGATTCAGGCTTTAGATATGTCATTAAGAGTAAAAATCACTAAGATACATACAAACATATACATTACTCATAGAATACAGCCATTAATAAAAATACATTAATTATAAATTGATTTTTTAACAAAGTGTCTTCTTGTGTTTTTGCAAATAGTGGCAACCAGTTGGCTACTTCAAGTGGTGACACTACAGTTAAATTATGGGACCTGTCCAAAGGCAATTGCATTTTAACCTTTGAAGGACACAAACACGCAGTGTGGTCCTGCACGTGGCACTCTTGTGGTGATTTTGTGGCATCTTCCTCACTGGACAGAACTAGTAAAATCTGGGATGTTAACAGGTAAGAAGTACTTTAAACGTTATTAACCCTCTGCGTTGATAAATATACATGGTACCCACTGAGAAACCTTTTTAAAAAAACTGTTAGTTTTTTAAAATGATAAAATTTAAAATGATAAAATTATAGACGGCTACTTAGTCTCTGTGAAATCCATTTCTAACCCCATTAATTTTTTCATAACGAGCCCTTTCTACATGTATCAAGATCAAACCTCTGTAATAAGATTAGAATTGTTTCATTGGAAAGCTCTTTAAGCAGGATAGGAAAAACACTTATTTTAAAAAGTTACATTTTTAGTTCTCCCTTCCAAAGGTTTGCTCTCTCTCTGTATTATCAGACTAACAATTTAATAGACAAGAATATGACAGAAATAATTATGTGCTTTATGCTTAACTTTGATATAATATTTTCCCAAATTAAGTATTTCTTGGCAATTCATAAATTGTAAGAAGTAATGCAATATGCAAAGCCTTATACAATGTCAGGTGGATGTAGAAATTTTTTGCTTTGATCTTAATTCAAGTCAGACAAACCTATTATGTTTACAGTGTCAAAATACCTGTCAGTGGTGTATTTTTGAATAATTATTACATCTTGTTAGGTATACAAATAGGATACAAAGAGCTACTATCAAATATCCTGGTTGCTCCAGCTAGCTAAGGGATTATAAATCATCACTCAGATTTCTGACCACTTTAACTATTGAAACAATACCCTAACTGCAAATATATAATTGATAATGACTCCTAAAAATTTAAGTAAACAGTTGTCACTGAGCCGTTGTAATTTATTTTGTAAGAGAAAGATGGGCTCACTCTAAAGGTGGACACTATTGATTTGGTATCATGGGTAAAACAGATACCTTGAGGAACAGTTTCCCCCTGGAATCATGGATAACGTATTTGAAAAAGAAGGCAAGGTGCTTGCAAAAATTAGCAGGTTTTCTCAGAGGAGTCATTTGGAGGAAATGATCTTCCTATGCATAAATTGATTCCTAAGGCCCTGTACCAGTTATTATGCTATTTTCTCTCAACACCAATATCACTCTTCTTGGGCTGCTGGGACTGGAACTTTGAAAACTACATTTTTGCTTTGTAATCTGACCCCCTGCTAGGTTTTGGCAATGGGGGTCCCTGTAAGAGAGTGGAAGAGGTCTGGAGGAGCAAGAAGGGACTTGCTTCTTGTCACTTTCCTATCGGCTTTTTCTGGATGTGCAGTTACCATGAGCACCCCCTAGCAGTGCTTCACTGCAGCAACAGCAGTTGAGTCCAGTTGCCAAATTTCCCAACCCTTGCAGAAAAGCCACAGATGCCATCATCAAAGACATTAACTCCAGCAAACAGGAGCCCCCTTCTCAGAGGTCTGTGTTCCCAGCATGGCCATTCTGCATGGCTCTTGTCCCAACCTGAGTAACAATACAAGCAGACAAGTGACCTCTCCTTAGAGGGCTGAGTTCTAGCTCTGCAGGCACCCATCTTCAAGGTACTAAGTTTCAAAGATTCTACTCTATTCCCTTTGTTCTTGTCTTGGGGGTGGTAGCTCTTACCTGCAATAGCTTTCTCCATGTTACCTTAATGTTCTCTTTTTCCTTATTTAGTTACCTAGTTAACAACTCTATACATAGTAAACAAGCCCATCTATTAAATACACGCTGATAAAATGATAGGTGCAATTTCTGTCTCCTCTGACTAGACCTTGACATATACAGAGAATTAATGGATGAACACCATAATCATCTACCTAAATTTAAAGAGATAGCTAAATAATGTTGAACATACTCTGTATGAGAAAATATGGCCCTGAATAATACATTTTACACTTTTTTCTACCTAAAATGGTGACAATTTAAGAAATCGTTCAAGTCTCAGATACCGTTTGCTTATCTAGAATAATCAATCATATGTAGCCCTTAATTTTATTATGTTTCTATATTATGCAAGCAGATTTCATAAATAGTTGTTATAATAAATTACTGGATTTTTGTGAACCACCTTACTGAGTTATGATTGACATATAAAAGTTGCACATATTTAGTATATAGAACTTGATGGGTTTGAACTAAGTATTCCTCCATCACCAGCTATGACATAAACATGTCCATCACCTCCAAAGTTCCTCCTACCTTCTTTTGTATTATTATTTTTTGTGATAAGAATACTTAATATTTAGCCTCTTAGTAGATTTTAAGTTTATAATACAGTATACTTACCTACAGATACTATGTTAAACTGTAGATCTCTAGGGCTTATTCATCTTATATACCTGAAATTTTAACACTAGTATCTAATTTTAATTATCACTTTTGACTTAGATGAGGATCCTAATAGAAGACTGTCTCATTTTTACAATATGTCTTCAGATGTCTTAATCACTCAGTGTTTAAATCAAACTGTAGTTTAAAAACTGATTCCCAAGAGACTCAGCCTTACTTAGAATGATTTCAGACACTTTGATTTCATGACTTTTCTCCATGAGCTGATATCCAAATACTATCTTTCCAATAGATATTGATAAAACAGATGAAAATTTCTCTTAATTGATGCCAAAAAATATTTATATTTCAAATTTCCCATCATTGTCCAAAGCTCACTTTCATTATCAAAAACAAAAAAATGATACCAATTTTGAAGCTAAGTTATTGGACAAATATTAACAAATAAAGGAGAAATTGTTTCTATAGTGGCTGTTGATGTCTTTTGAGTCATAATCAAAGCACTGAGCTGTAATTTTCAATTACTCATGGATTAATACTTTAAAAATATTTCTAAAATTAATACTTTGCCTTAGAATTTCATAGTTTATTGGTTTAATGGAAAGGGTATTTGCCTTGGTAAGATGGTAACAGCTGTGATATGCTGGGCCATATATCCTTATCCTGATACAGGTTCTTTATAAACTCACACAATTCTTTATTTAAAAAATGATAGGCTCTACTGTTCACCAGAGACAGAAGAGTTTAGAATATATCTTTCTTTTTTATGGTCTGCCCCACCCAATTGGCTAAGTGTTGAATGCCCTTTAATTGATTCCAAATGTCCAATATGATACTCCTATCCTTGTGCCTCTTCTTCCATTGGACATTACCTGCCAATATCATGTCATCTGCAACACATGAGCAACATTGTGGTTACTAGATTTCCCCATTATCAGGTCCCCACCAAATACCCCATTTCAGTCACTGTCTATCAGCATAGTAAGATGCTATAGACTCACCTCTTGTCTTCTCTGTGCTATTCTGCCTTCCCCGTGACTCCC